TTGGGGACTTCAGCAGCAGAGTCCAGGGAAGGGGTAGGGACGATTTTATGGCCTGCAGCATGCAGGGGGTCAGACCAGATGATCATAATGGTCCCTTCTGACCTTAAAGTCTATGAGTCTATGAACTAATCTCAGGAAAGCCAGATAATTGACTTTAATAAACTAACTACTCCAAAACAGTATTAGAAATGCAACAGATACCCCATATGAGAAGACAACTTTCTTCTTTTCTGCCATGATTACGGTGTTTGCCGTATAGATTAAGGCAGTCTTGTGTTTATAAGATATTAATATAATTTAGAACATCTACAATGAGACAAGAAACCACTCCCTTGCTCCGAAGTTTTTTTAATACTATAGGTTGGTTAATGATTCAGTGCAGGAAAATAACTTTGGAAATCCCTAGGGCTAGCCTTAATGTCTATACTTATACTTAATATTGGGGGAGGATTATTATTAATATTTATTTGCATTACAGAAGCACCTTGGGGCCCCAGTCAGTGATCGTGGCTCCATTGAGCTAGACGCTGTACAAACATATAGCAAGACTGTCTCTTCTCCAAAGAGCTTATTATCAAACTATAAAATGGGACACCAAGTAATTACAATAAATAATCAAGGGGAGTATAAAACAACTGACTACTATGAACATCATAAGCAGTGGGACACAACACACCATTGTTGAAATTTTAGTAGGCATCTTAGGTTTTCTCATACAGTGCATGTGCTTTGTCAACTTGTGGTAGTATGTAGTTCACTGTTACGTACACAGTTCAAAGGTTTGATTTGCTTAAAACTTCCCACAATTAAGTCTTTCTTTGCTGTATTAATGCTACTATCTTTGGATTCTTTTTCAATTAAAGCAAGATTTTCAACTCGAAATCTAGTCAATTAAAAAAAGGTTTAAAATAATTTCAGATTCTATACTTCTTCTGGAGTCACCTCCCTAATCCTTGTGGTTTTAAGTAATTTTCTTGTATTAAAAAATTGTTTTTCTCTCATGTGGCTGTGTGAAAAACATGCACAAACAGGGCAACTGATTATAAAGGGAAAACACTAAAAGTGATTTTATACGAAGTTCTGTCAGATGTACAAAGTTGGAGAAAAAAACCTGAAAAAAACTAGTTTTTCTTCTTCTGTTTCAAATGCTGTAATTTTAAGTGTTACTTGTTTCTATAGGAGGCATATTTTCAGACAAATGAAATGTTAAATTGAAATGTCCCTCTAAGCTCGCTATTAACATTAAAGTATCTATGTATCTATAGGTACGTCTACACAGCAGCTATACACATGCTAGCTCTGAGCTAAAATAAGCAGTGTGGCTGTGGCAGCACTAGTGATGGCTATGGGTAGCCAACCAGGTGCAATCCCATCTGAGAAGACTAGGTGTGTACTCAGATGGCTGGCCCAAGCTGCTGCCCTTCCTGCTGTGGCACACTGCTATTTTTAGCACACTGGCTAGATCAGAGCTAGTGTATGTATGTCTATCCAAACTGAGAATTATACCTCTGAACTGCAGTGTAGATGGACCTTGGGGGAGTAAAAGAGGGTAGTGCCGCTCAACCATTAAGTAGTCTAGCCTAATACGTCCCATTATAAAACCTTTATTTTCAGTTGCATAGAGTTGTGAAGAAAATTAAGACCCCTAACATTAAGGTGCTATCCCTCTCTTCCCTGTTTCCACACAATTGTAATGGATAGCAGTTACAATAACCCCAGAAATAGACTTGCATCTTCATTATTGCTTGTGATTGCAGACTGAAGGATGGCATGTGATTTTAAGTTGGGGAGGTGGTGATGGAAACTTAAACATCAAGTTTGTCTTTGAAAATATTCTTGCGCCTGTATGACAACCTTAATGCCCCATGGTTTCCCTGTGAATAATTTTTGGCTCATGGCAGTTTTCCATTCCTCAGGCTGAAATGCCTTCACTTCAAGCCTAAGTACATTATTTAGTTCCAAAATAGGTCAGTGAAGAGGGGGAGAAATGCCATGAGGTTTAATTGCCTTTTTAACTTTGAAAAAATAAATTTAATTTGGCAAGAACCCTGATTAATATGCATTGCAAGCTGTATTATGAATGAATTACCTGTTATGTTATAAAAATAGCTGTTTGTGACCCATAAAAGTACTTGGAGAAGAAGCTGAAATAATAACCTTCAGGAAAAAGTTACTCACATCTCTTTGCATGAGTTTTGGTCTTAATGTGAGGTTTTCCTGAGTTTTATAATAGGTGGCAGCTTACTGACGCTAATATTAGCACTTTCTGTGCACACCTCAAATCATATGAATGCACTTCTTCTTCCAGCATAGACTTAACTTTCAAACTCTCCTAGTTTCCCCATCTCTCTTCTATGTGGCCACAACTTACATCTGCTTTGCCTTATGTGCTCCCTATGTGAAACTGCTGCTAGTGTGTTTCTGACTCCTTTCTGGGATTATGGGAACTAGGCAAATCCAACCTAACCTTCCCTAGCTGCACCAAAAATAAGCTGGCAAGTAGGATTATTCTGACAGGGCAGCTTCCGCTCTGAGCCTGAATGCATCACCTTTGTTGCATATCCCAGCTCTTTTATAGCTACTGGAAGTGACCCCGAGCTCACTCTCAGACCCAGGCCCCCATACAACCTGAGGACTGCAGCTAATTTTTGTCCTGATCAAATTCCAATAGGAGGGAGACATCTTGTCATCCCAGTTCTAACAGGTTAATTACTGTTTTTCTCAAGCAGCATTAATTCCATTCCTGTAAGCTTAAGTGTACCCTAGGCCTGGTCTACACTAGGAGGTTATGTCGAATTTAGCAGCATTAAATCGAATTAACCCTGCACCCGTCCACACAACGAAGCTATTTAGTTCGACATAGAGGTCTCTTAAATTCTATTTCTGTACTCCTCCCCAACGAGGGGAGTAGCGTTAAATTCGACATGGCCATGTCGAATTAGGGTAGGTGTGGATGGAAATCGATGCTAATAGCTCCGGGAGCTATCCCACAGTGCACCACTCTGTTGACGCTCTGGACAGCAGTCCGAGCTCGGATGCTCTGACCAGCCACACAGGAAAAGCCCCGGGAAAATTTGAATTCCTTTTCCTGTCTGGGCAGTTTGAATCTCATTTCCTGTTTGGACATCATGGTGAGCTCAGCAGCACTGGCAACGATGCAGAGTTCTCCAGCAGAGGTGACCATGCAATCTCAGAATAGAAAGAGGGCCCCAGCATGGACTGATCGGGAAGTCTTGGATCTGATCGCTGTCTGGGGCGATGAGTCCGTGCTTTCGGAGCTGCGATCGAAAAGACGGAATGCAAAGATCTACAAGAAGATCTCAAAAGCCATGACAGAGAGAGGGTACAGCCGGGATGCAACGCAGTGCCGCGTGAAAATCAAGGAGCTGAGACAAGCGTACCAGAAGACCAAAGAGTCAAACGGACGCTCCAGATCCCAGCCCCAGACATGCCGTTTCTACAAGGCACTGCATTCCATTCTAGGTGCGGCCGCCACCACTACCCCACCACTGACCGTGGACGCTGAGGATGGGATATTGTCGACGGCCGCTTCCTCGGAGATGTTAGCGGACGGGGAAGATGAGGAAGGTGAGGAGGAGGACGAGGCAGTTGACAGTGCTTACAACGCTGATTTCCCAGACAGCCAGGATCTCTTCATCACCCTCACAGAGATCCCCTACCAGCCGTCCCCAGGCAGTAACCCAGACCCTGAATCAGGGGAAGGATCAGTCGGTAAGTGTTTTAAACATGTAAACATTTATTTTGAACAGAACAGGAATATTAACAATGGGTTTTTCATGATTAGTTTGCCCTAGGTGCTCTACTTTTTAGTCCTTGCCAGTGCAGCTACTGGAAAAGAAGGTCTATATGTCTGGGGATAGAGCTGAAATCCTCATGGGACATCTCCACGAAGCTCTCCTGGAGGTAATTGGAAAGCCTTTGCATGAGGTTCCTGGGGAGAGCGGCCTTATTGTGCCCTCTGTGGTAGGAAACTTTTCCTTGCCAGGCTATCATCAAGAACTCTGGGATCATTGCCTTGCAGAGCATGGCGTCATACGGCCCTGGTTTTTGCTGGCTTTCACGCAGCATGCGTTCTTTCTCGGTCTCAGAAATTCTCAGCAGAGTTATGTCGTTCATGGTGACCTGCTTAGAATTAGGGGAATGTTACTATTGGGACTGCTTGCCTGTTCCTTTACAGAACTGTCACCGGCGGTTTACAGCCACGCGGTGGAGGCGGGAGAGGGGCAGCATACAGGGATCTTTCCCGGGGACAGCCGCGAGGGGGTGGGACAGGGGCAGAGTTCATGCTTGCTGGATTGCCGGCACCAGGAACTGGCCAACGATAGGAGCATTGCTTTGAACGTGAAAGGAGGGCACTGCTATAATTTAAGTTTTAAGTGGCCAGAAGTCTACGGCTTACCATGTCAGCCTGCTACCCGAATTCCGCTGTCCTGCCCCGCTTGTCTTATCTCCACTGCAAGACCCCAGGCACTGAATGCGAAGGCCGAAAATTCGACCTTGTCCTGAGTGCG